TATTGAACTTCTCCTTTCTCCCTTACTCTGAAATACTTTCAGATACTCTTTAAATAATTCTTTGCCATGTTCCCCTACCACACACAGATACACAAGTCTGCAGGCTGCAGACATTCCCTCTCTATTTACCGCCTCCTCTAATTTTTAGTATTAGCTGCCAAATTACAAGAGCTTGTGGTTGGAAAATTGCAGCTGAGTATTGAGTAGCTGAACTGTCCCAGGCTGGCATGTCAGCCACAAACTGTGGGCAGAGATCTCTTTTCTCATTTGATAAAGAATAGGGCATAGAAAGAGCTGTACACAGGCAGCATCGTTTCCACAGCAAGGCCAGACACGCAGGAGACTGCAGTGTTACCACTGCAAATACAAGTTAGTGCCTTCTTCAAAAAGGTCAAAGCATTAACTCCAGACTTGTAGGTGACCTCAGACCAACTAAAATAGTTTAATTCACTGAACATAGTAGTCTAATTCACCGACCTACTGATGCCATTCTAACAAACACACTTGCCATTTCCTTTGTATCATTCTGAAACCAGTAACTTCACTTCAGGCACTTTGAGTCATTATCTGCTGTTGAGAGATTTGCAAGAGGCAGAATCTTATTGTCCTGGAAAGTGAGAAATTAGATAGCTCCTTCATTTACAGTGAGCAGCAGCCCAGCTGACCAGACCTTACACTGAGATGCAGTTCTGGGATCATGCACCCACTTCTCTTGGTGTGGAGCCACGGTTGTGACTCAGATTACAGCATGTTTTTCTGAAGCTATGTCACTCTGCTATCATTGAAAAACCCAGAAAAGAAAGGCATGGGCACAAGGGATTAGACCAGCCATCCATTTTGTCCAACACCTGATGTCTGAGTCCATGGGACAACACTCCAGTAAAAAGCCTAAGAAAGAGGGACTACATCAAGCCACATGCTGCCCTCAACATCCATTTAGGATGTAACTTAGAGAGTTCTGTACTTTAAGTATATAAAATATACTTCAGGGTATATTTTATTTTTTAAAAATCTTTTGCCCACTATGGAGCCATTTGCAGAAAAATGTAACTGGAAATAACAAGAAATAGCACTTACCTTTATTTATTTTAAACCTGGAGCACAATATTTGCATTTAATATCTCCAAATCTTGTCAAACCACATCCCTCACTATGTTATACAGGCTTTTGAACACCCTCTACTTGCTCTGCTTCACAGAGTATAACTAAGGCACAACTAAGTCCACCACATACCACAAACTATCAGATGAGTCTTCTCCACAAACACTATCTTATCTCTATCAGAACTGAATTTGGGCTGCCATTTTCTTGCCCCATCACTTACCACTGTGAGATCCCTCTGACATTGCTCACAGTCAGCTTTTGGTCTTACTACCTGGAAAAATGTGTTAGTGCTTCATTATTCATCCTCCATTCCAGGTAGTTTATGAGCACTTAGAACACCACAGATCCCAGCACACTTTCTTCCAGAAGACTCCAGGAGTAACATCCCTGTATTGTCCAATCTTCTTATCTTTTCCATACAGTTGTCACTATTTACCTAGTCACTATCTAATCAGTACAGCATTACACCAGTTTAACTTGCTGAAAAATCTTTCAAACAGCAAATATTTGGTTGGTTTTAGTTTTTTGGGCAGGGGTTTGTTTGCCTGGGGGTTTTTTGTATGTGTGTATTATGGGTTTTTCAAAGAAATCCAGATGTATTGTATTAGTTAAATTACCTTTATCAAATGCTGATCCAGTCATTGAGACACAACAAGCAGATTTACAGGGCAGAAGCTCCTGCTGCAGAAGACAACTTGTCTCCTCTCTATCTGTGAACAAATACTAATGCTATTCTTTAATTTTAGGTTCTAAGAGGAGCCTGATACAGAAACCAGGCTTGCTCTTAGCTTCCACTTTCCCAAAGAACCCCCCAGACCCTTCTTGAAAAGCCCAGCACGTTTACTGCTTTTCATTCCTCCATTCTAAGGCCAATTTAAGCAATGATTACACACAACCGTGTGTAACTCGGCAACATCAACACCGAGTTCCTCACAAAGTGAGAACTTTTCCTAGCAATTCTTTGTGTTGGAATTCACTCCAAAACGTCAAGCTTCTGTCACATTCCCCCAGCCTGTCCCCTGGAAATGAAGGGTCCACATGGGAACTGTTCTGCAGTGAATAGCAATGCAAATAACTTCTCTGCACCAGCTTTACCTTCCCTCAGCTCACATGTAATATTAGGAACCTCTATCAGCTCATCGGGATCTCTGACAGGCTTTCTGCCTTTGACAGTTAGACAAAAAGCTTTATTATTTTTTTAAAGTCTCTACAAAGTTGTTCCTCAACATTTTTTTTGCTCTACCTCATTATGGTTTATATTTAACTTGCCAAAGTTAATGCTCTTTCCTATTCTCCTCATTTGGATACAACTTCTGCTTCAGAAAGATGACTTATTTCTAGGAGTCTTGTTTATTTTACTGTTTAAGCAAGTCGTTGTTCATTTTTGTGGCTTTTCTTCCATCTCTTATTTCCTCTCCCTTCTCACACTTTACCATTGAAACTGGACACAGTAGCCTAGAAATCTTGGATTGTGAGGTTTTGTATTTTAATTTTAAGTCAGTGTTTCACACAAAATTCTCAACTTTTTTTTTGCACATATGAAATAGCACTTAGGAAACGGTATTTTGTTAAGATGACATGAAGATTTCTCTGCCTGTTTCCAAGATAGAGGATTTTTTTCTATCTTGAAGGTAAAATCTGTATTTGGTCCTCCCAGATGTTTTATTTCATGTTGGATATATTAATATATATTTTGTTGGACTGTGGCCATTTAAATCAGGCAATCCAGATTGTTCTTTAGAAATAACTGACCCTTTATTTAGTACTCACAACCTAGGATTTTTTCCAGATAGCATTATTGATGAAGGGATAAAGCACTGCTAGAATGAGGACTTGATTAAAGCAAACAAACAAACAAATGCTTAGTCTTTCTTAACCATCAACCACATTTTGGTATTTCTCAGGCCATTGCCCTTTAATCCATCCAGCACTTGCTTATGCTTGCTAAAGTCTGAATTCTCATTTTTAACAGTAAAAAAGCATCAAGAACAGCTACATCCTCTGAGAAACATTTATTCTATTTCAACTATTTCCACCATATTTTGCCTATTCACATTTAAAATTGCACTAAAACGTCAGGAGCCTTAAAATGGGAAAACATTTATTCATTTAATTCATGCTTGAAAACAGCCAAACCAACTTTATCCAAATATTAAAAACACCCAACAAAAACACACATTTTACCACAAAGACCACGCCTAAAAAACGTCAGTCGTAGAGATGATGGTTTTCTAATGACACAATCAACTGAAAACAGAAGCTAGAATAAAACAAATCATGCAGCTCCAATCTTTAAATGAACAGACATGATAGTTTGGCTTTAAGAGTTCTAAATATATTGAATACCTGGCTTGGTAATATTAACTGTCATAGTTCTCTGAGTACAAGGAAAGTTGCAGAGGAGAAGGAATTTTAAGTGCAGCTTGATTTTTCTTTCAGAACTACTGGTCAGCCATCCTTACAGCAGAACTGGGTAAAATAACTAAATGTCTGACACTGAATTGAATTTGTAAAGAAATCAAAGACATCACAGGAAAAAATGTCAACATTAGTTAAGTTTTAGGGTCCATGCTAAACAAGCACCTGAACATAAATACCTGGTGAGTTGCTGTCTTTAAAATTGTGAATACAATTTTTCAATGTATGAACACTTGCTTCGACTAGAGACACGTTTGTACCTCTTTGCATGGAATTAGTTCAATGCAGTCAGTTACTGGGAGGTGACTGAACAGAGATCTAGCAGCTGCTGAGGGAGAGAATAAATATCACTTCAGATTCTAGGAGGCTAAAAAGCTCCCTCTCAAAGCCAAAATATTTTAAAAATTAAAATAAGATTAATAGTTTTGTAATAATGAGTTCATTCTGCTCTCTACTATTTACATTTAGTATGTACACAAACACAGATTTAAAAGCACTCACTTTCAGTTCTAGTATTTATACTCTACCCAGAGTTCCAAAATTCTCACAGAAGATAATACTGATAATTGTTTGGTTTACACTGGTGATGGAGAACTTTGGTGTTTTGTTTTGTTTTTAAGGCATGTCTGCAGTATCTACTGGTTACAAGGCAATGTCAGATGTATTTTTTTATTTTAAAAAAGCTTCCAGTCACCATGCTTGTCAACAAAAACAAAGACAGAAGATACCACCAGTTTCAGGCTTGGCTTGAAGGCCATGATCACTCAACCTAACCTTTAGATGCACAGGTCATGGAAATTCCTTCCTCAAAAGAAATAAAATATCTCTTTTGGAAAAGTGCCGGTTATGTTAAGAAGTCCACAATCTCTTTTGCCAAAGAGATCATTGCACTAGAGCATCTCTTCCACGTGAACAAGAAGCTTGTACAATGGTCTATCTGTTTGGTCAAATTTTCCATTCAATGCACCAAACTGAAATGCTTGAGCCTCAACAGATTAATGTTCCTGCCAATCTATCTTCTGAACTGTCTCCCAGCAATTCTACAAACTCCAGGCACCTGAGGGATGCTTTACCCGCTTCTTCCAAGAAAAAAAAAACAAAAACAAAATCAACCACAACAGAACATCACACTTTACTATCTACTCCAGATAACTTAATCATGACCAAAGCATTGCATCTCCTGGTACTAGCAGTGAGCCTGACCACACGTTTGTATCATGCACTGACAACATAATTTGTTTTATTACTCAACACTCAGGAGTCTCTACTCTTTGAACAAAGTCCTCGTCAGACTGAAGTCAACTAAGCCATTGCCACTGACCACTCAAACTGTCCAGAATTTCAACACTGGTCTCTCCATGAACCAATCAAGTGACAGAGCAATGACACTTTTCAAGACAAACTCTGCCTATCACCCACCTTGAAGGATGAGAAGTTGTTGGGGGAAGTGGGGAAAAACTCCCACAGTGATTACTTACTTTGGGAAGATGACAGTCATGAGCGCTGATGCATAGCCTGGCTTGCACATTCCCTCAGAGAAATTGGCATACTTTGATGCTAGTTCTGGAGGCCTGTGAAAAAACAAGTACAGAATCAGGACTCTCCTGGCTATGAACTAGTTTTTGGAATCATCCAAGTAATTTTTCTCCTTATAGCTTTGCAGAAAAGAGCTGCAGGGAGTAATTGCAAACACAGACCATTATTTATTTGTTGCACTATGGCATCACAGAAGAACAACAAAAAAAGCAGAGAGGTAAAGATATCTGTAATACCACTAAACCACTAGTTTTGCTGAAAGATTTTCATAGCTAGCAAGGTAAAGCTCATGGAAGAAAAATATCAATAACCATTTTAGACTTCAACCTTTCAAAAGGAAAAAAGACGTAAACAGCACGTTGCTTTGGCTATTTTTCTAAGTTATGATTGAAGTTAAAATTATAGAAAAGTATTATTTAGAAGATTACTTGAAGATAGTTTCAGGAATTTGAAACAAAGCTTCAAGCAGTATTGGCAGGGTATCATCAAGGGATGAATGATTTCAGTATTTGGAAGAGATGACATTGCTGCTGCTTTGTTGAGGTGTGTCTTAATTCAGCTTGGCTAGTGACTCTTGGGCCAAATTTAGAATAATGGGTGTTTTTTCATTCAGTTTCTGTACAGAAACAAGAGTAGCAACTCAATTAAAGATATTTCAGTCCAGCACATGCATTTACCATAGGTCTACTGAGTTATCTGAAAAAAACCTTTAATTTTGTGTCCCCTATTCATGACCTGCAAAATTTTTACATTCATCCATTTCATTAAAGCATTACAAGGGTAATTAATTCACTTGTGCTTTCAAAGTAACATTAGATATCTTAGTGTCAGTCACAATATGAGGATTGTTAATATTCCTTCAAAGAACAACCAAGAAAGCATTTACAGTTCCATGCTCAACATTCAGTGGAAGCTGCAAAGACTCATCAATAACAATGTTCTTGCTGCATCGTTATCAGCAACAGGCAAGTAATGAAAGGTTTCTTCCTCTCAACAGTAACACTCAAATGAAGATGACAGTGCGGCCCCACAGAGTAGAACCACAAAATCAGTTCTGAAGAGTCTGTTATTATCCCAATCATGTTCTTTCCCAGGCATTACCATTATCACTTAACCAGCAAACTACTACTACCTGCAATGAATGTGGATTCAGAGTTTCAAAATTACATATAGGAAGGATAGTAACTCCATGCTGAACTGGGCATAACTATTCTTCTTATACTGGTCCTGCATTACCTCTCAAGAGGCCAGTAGCCAGTTCCAACTGGATGGACAAGAGAAGGACAATTAATTTTACAAATAGCTGCCTAGAGTACAAAACCTCCTATAGCTCCTAAACTGTAGGGGAATGGTCTCTCTGTATACAGAACCCCTGCAATTCTGAATATATAGATACAGATAGAACCTCTGTGGCTCTTAAAAAATAAAATCTATTTCTGCTGAATAAAAATCTAAACTTTCAACAGCTGGAAGAGAAAAGAAACAAGAGAAGATAAATAGTCATTGTAAGTATTTAATTTCGTAAGACTTTTTAAGCTAAAAAGCACCATAAAAAGCTTAAGAACACGGATCCTATTTAATTCTGCCACACATATCCTGCATGGTTATGGTCCAAATATGCAGTATTTTACCACCAAAATTCCTCATCTGTAGGATGGAAGAACAACACATTTAGCCATTTACACTGCCAATTATTTACAATAAAGTATAGATATCTCTAAATATATGATATAGACATGGAGAGAAAGGGAGAGGTGCAATATTATCTAGCACAACCCAAATCCATGAGTTTGGTTTGCATAGGTGATGATGTGATATCATAATACATTTCTCTAAATAAGGGAGATGAAAAAACATCTGAGAAAGGAGTATCCAAAATGATTTGCATTCTTACGCCAGTCAGGATCTCTTTATAAATAGGGACATGAAGGACTGACAAAACAAAAGGCTTTAATGATGCTAAGGTATATTATATCCCCTTCTGACACAGTCAAAAGGGACAGCAGGATGTATTGATCGTAGCTTGTTGAAGCATTTCAGATATGAAGAAATGTGGGAAATCTTAACTTTTTTCAACTGAACTTAAGCTTGCTAGAATTTTAATCTTTAGGCAAAGTACAGAAACCCCTAATACCAAAACCTCCAAAAACAAGTAGAAAGCAACTGGAATTTATCTGCAGCCACCACAGTAGTGAGTCATTGCTGGCAAACTTGTATAACTATTTCAACAGCAGGCCTGTCTCAAATGACCTCAGTGGTCACACAAAATATCTTGAGCCACAAACACAGGCATTTTTCTCTTTTCTGATTTAATGGTGCTTTCATTATCAAATTAAAACGTCACTCAGATGCCCATCATGGTGTTTCTGCACAAGAATAGCAGGCTGAGACCCTCCTGCATGTGAGCCCCCCGCATGCCAATCGCTGCATACTGATGGAGGGGAGCTGTCAGTACAAACCCACAAAGACTCCCAGAGCTGCTAAAGCCCCCAGGCCGAGCTGTTAACATTTCTTGGATGTGATGAAGTTCATGATCCAAAGTGCCAGAGGCAGAACAGTTCTCTAAGCCAACCATAGCTGCCATCTCTTATCATTCAACATTTGCTCATCTCCTTTCTTGGTGCTGCATTTTGAGTCACCAAGCTACAGAAAACTAGAAAGGGGCACTCTACATTTTAAATCCATCTAGGGACATGTTTTATTTGTTCAATCTCTTTGAAATAGGCATTGCATACTGTCACTGCCAACATGCTCATAATGATAAGCTCCTAGTAGGTGTAACCCAGAGCAAATTTAGAGTAGGGCTGGGTGCAGCCTTGCTGTTTACAATTCTGCTACCAGATGAAGCTATCCAAGTTGACTTCATTTTAGATACACACATTTGCTTTGCGGGTATTTTCCCCTGCAAGATCCACAAATCTTGCAGAGATCGGTGCTCCACAAATCCTGCATTAAGCATCCCATAGAGTACTACACATCTTTCAAACAAATCCAACTTTGAAAAATCACACTGTGTTTGTAGCTATGTGGTTCTGTAATAAAAGAACTGCACAGAACTCAAGTCTACAAATGAACATCTCCTCTGTATTTGATGACAATGCATCTACTACACTGCTGCATTGGTGCCTCTTTGACAATGCTTTTATTTCCAAATGGGAAAACCAAACACTTTTACTTTCTTAGTCCTTTAGAAGCTAGTAATAGCTTCATCTCATTAGCCCCATTACTGAGCCTGGACTCCAAGGCCATCCTGATAAGCCAGCCAGCCAGGAGCATCATGACACTTATGACAGAAGGGTGCAAATCTCCCCTACATCTTCCAGGTCCAGATACATTATTCCAGCTCTCAATGCTCATGCTCATACTGGGCTGAGGTAGCTAAAGAGCTAGTGGAGACAGCAGAAATAATGTAATTAGATGACACTGTGGACCCTTTAAATTTTGCTCAGATTTTGTGCAGGAAAAACCCAGTAAAGTAAAAAATTTCTCCAGAATAAATGAGAAAAACAAGTCACAGTCAGTAACTGTAAACATCTGCTGTTTTTAAACAAGTGCCTGCATGAGGGTGAAGTTAAAGGGAAGTAATTGGCTTATTCCACTGAAGAGAAAATTCACTCTTGCTTTTTTTTCTGACTTTTCTCTTATGAGACCAGCACACATCCTGAATTCTTATGATATTCTGTGCTTCTCTACACTGTTATGTGGACATCAATCTCAACAAAATTTCACAATTTGGATAAGTTAAAAATCCAGCTGCTTTCAGAGGATTTAGAAAAAGTAACAAGATTTTTCCTTCTGCTTGCATTTGGCAGATGTGTGTCTCCTTTTAATCTCAAATATGAAAACGTCACCATGATTAATTCCTTCATCGTGTCCTGATCAGGGACAGCATGTCATCCTCATAGACTGGAATCTAAATCCTTTTAAAAAAAGAAATTAGTAATACAACTCAGTGTTTAGATTACTAAAAAAATGGCCACAACTAAGCTCATGTAATTGAATATTACAAAATCTACTTGAAGAGACAGATTTTGCTGCTTTGCCTTTCACATGGAATTTAAACTGCAGCTTGTAAAAATCAAAAAACTTCATCTACTTGAGATCATCTTATTTGAGGACGGATGTCTCTTCCTGTTATTCTTACACACAAAATATATGAACTGACACGTTTCTCAAACAAGGAAAAGGAGTCCTTGGCAATGTGCTCTCTAGGCTGATCCTTCTCCTTGGGGTTTCTTTCTCTTTGGTTCAAAATAACCTGGGTCTTATGCTTACACAGCAGCTCTACAAAGTTTTTGTCATGATACATGAAGAATGAATAGGAGATGGAATGAGAACATGAAATGAAAGCATATAAAACATAGTGAGGCATTATGGAACAACAATGAATTATTAGTATATAATTTGGTACACCACTAAATCAAAGCAGTTAATGAGACTGAGACCACATAGCTATACCCTGTAAGATTCAGAGCATTTAAATTTAGGTAGGACTCCCTGGTTCAGACGTATCCACCATATCCAGTCATGGCTCAGTGTTGGCCAAAGGACAAGTTTGTACACTCCTGGAATAAAACTTTCAGTTCAGTTTCCCTCAGTTACTGCTACTCAGCCTGAGGAAGAAAAGTCATTTACATTCACCTCCAGAGTAGTCAATCCCATACACCAGGGCACTGAAAAATGCATCTCCACCTCTGCCTTCATAAGTAGAGTTGTGACTATCATGTCACTCTGTGGAATCTCTTTGAGTGAAGACACCACCACAAAACTCTCCCCTGGTACATGGCTGGAGATCCACATTCACCAGTATGGCTTGGGAAACACTGAACCAGAATTTTAAGAAGCTCCAATTACAGTTCTTACAATTTTGCAAACTTGGGTTCAAAGCATTACACAGCCTGATCATTTGATATTTGCTATTTTCCAGCTGAGGAAAAAGTAAACAAATGAAAGGAATGAGTAGATAGAAGAGGAAAATCAAAATGCTTACATTGAAAGAGATGGGAACTGCATCTACTGCCCTATAGCCAGCAAA